CGGCCCGCAGCGCCGCACGGCCCGGTTCGGCCGGGACCCGTGCCGCTCTCTGTGGCGGTCTTTGCTCCACACTCCCGAGGAGAGACTCGCCTGCGGCTGAGGGTGGGACAAGCAATTCAGTTCGTGCTCTGTGCTGGCTTCAGCGCAAAACTGACGATCCCAACGATGCCATGGATAGATAATCCTGCAATCGGTGACTATCACCGTAGCCACTTGCTTGCTTTCCCCCACCTTGGTTTGGTGGCAGTGTGCATTCAGTCTGACTTCAGAGCCACAGGGCAGCAAACCCTGGCCAGGAGGTCACATGGCTCTTGGTGTTGGGCTAGAGAAGGGCAGGGAGAACAGACGAGAGCTTCACGAAGGGCAGCTTCTGACATGTTGTCATTCAGTGCTGGATGTCAGCCAGTTCTCCATCAGGCTGCATGTAAAATCTTGTTTGTCCTCCCATTGAGCTGCTTTTTCTCACTGCAGAAAAGCTACTCTGGATCTACCAGAATGAAAGTGCCAAGTACTCAGCTTGAAATGGAGAGTGGAAGATACTGTTAGCCAGCATTTTTCACCTGTGGAAGAAGATGAAGTTCTATCAAAGCGGAACAACCCTCTTCTTGGTCCGTAGTGTTATCCCAAAACATTTACCCACTTCTGATATTTCAGGAGAAACAATAAACTCATGTTTGGTGTAGGGAGAATGGCAGCTCAGAAAGTGCCATGGTAACATGTCCATGAATCCAGGGTAGCTGCCTTGGTGTTTGCTGTAACTTGTTCCAGGAAGCTGGGATCACACTGGGAGTGGGACTCTTGCGTGACGATGGCGATTTACACCTCTGAACCTGTGCCAGTGTGGAGGTAAGTGCGGAAACAGCTGACAAGCCAAGCACCAGCTTCTTGGAAGAGCAGCTGGAGTGAAATGGGTTGGAAAAGACTTTAAGGGTCATTTCTGTGGGAATGGACTGACAATCCTGCTGCTTGATTAGTGTGTAAAGAAAGTGTAAAGAAACCAAAGCCTTCAGGTGTCTCATTTTCAGCAGAGTTAAATTCCTAAAAGACGGCCGGCATGTCCATGCCCCAAAGTCAGACATGATTTGTCTTTGAGACTTGCCAGAGACTGTCTTCAGCAAAGGAAGAACCAGCTGATTGGAGACACAGAAGCACACTTCAGCAGAGGAAATTGTATCCTTTTCACATCTGAAGTTTGAAACATCTGTGTGGGGGCATGAACACCTGTGGGAGTAGTGGTTTTCCAGGTCTGTCTCCTAAGAAGGAATTTGGAATCATTGAATTGAGGTAGGTTGCAGCCCTGTTATCTTTAGGGTCTCATCATTTGCAGTCCACCTAGCAAAACTGCTACAGAACTTTGTTTCCATTAGCCTGAGGGCACTTGGAGGGATAGCTAAATTTTGGATGACAGTTTGTAAGTTTATTTTGATACTTTGAAGGAGAAAAATAAAATGGGTAGTAGCAATATTATTTATGAGAGAATTTGGTTCCTAGGCTTTGCTTTCCCTGCAGGCCTTAAAATGGGCAGCACTGGGAGACTTCTGCTGCATAAAGGGGACATCAGCTGTTTGTCACTTTCTCGCTCTTTCCTGTTCATGTAAATGAGCAATGACTACTGCAAATGATGGTGAGAGCTGGAGACAGCCTTCTGCCTCTTCAGTGACATTTTCTCTTAGAAAAAAACCCATATGAAATGAAATTCAAAACGGATCATGCTAAAATGCTGTAGACAACTTGCTAAATCTTCATTCAGGCAATTCCTGTGAGCTTTTCTGTCATTTGATAGTCGTATGGCTCTGTCACTGAAAAGTTTTTGATGTTTTGTAAAGGTTTCCAGTGCCCTTGGCATTTCAGAGGGGATATTTGTGCAACTGCTACTTGCTTCCCCTTCAGGGAGATGAACGTCAGAGCCTGCCCACATTCCCCAGGAGTCTTCACTCAGTGATGAGTGCTGTTACTGTAACAGCTGAAGTCAGCACAACTCTGAAGTAATGTCATGAATCACAAAATAAGTATCTCCTCTCTTTGCCAATGCAAACTCTGGGGTTTTCTGCCTCTTTCTAGAAGTGTCAGTGCTCCCTGACTCTGCACAGGTGAGAACAGGCACAACATAAGAATCTTAGACAAAGCTTGGCTTCTCAGCCTTCTTAACCTTAGTATGCATTTAATGCTATTAACGGTAACATCCTTCTTAAATATTTAATACACTTCCTGGAGGCTTTTCTTTTCTGATTTCATACCTGTTTATCCAGCTCTTCTTCCTGCCACTGGAAGCAAACATTCCCCAGCAAGCAACCCTTGCCCCTGTGCCACATCCCCTTAGATAGCAGCAGTGCTCCCTCTGCAGCCGGCACTCACAGCTGGCTGCCAGGACAGCCCTTGCAGCTGACCCCGACAGAGCCCAGCGGGGAAAAGCCCTTACAAATTCAACCCAGAGCTGAAAGGCAAGGCTGACTTCCCCTGGACAGTCTTTCATTTGCAGTGAAGATAGGCACATTGGCCAGTATTTCTGGTGGAGCTGCATAAACTAGGACATGGACTAAGGAAAGGCTGCATCTTCCAGCTTAACTAAAACAAAACACAGCCCTACCTCAGTTTAGCTGCAAGAGCCAGCAGGAGTTCTCACCTTCCTCAAGTGCTTTACTGCTTTTGAGCTTGAATTTCTTTCCCTGAACTTTGAGTTAATCAGTAGCAAATTTTGAGGTTTCCTGTATTTCACAAAAGTGTTTTCCAACAATTACTGCTTCCAACAAGGCATCTGTTTATATGTTGACATAAAAAATGTGTTTTCTTTTTCTTGTTCCCTTGGCTGCAGCTGGTTAGTTCATTTGGGATTACAATGGTAGCACAGTAGGACTTTGTTTGTCTTTTCCTTGCATGAAATTTTGTTGAAAGTGTGAACTGTAAAAGGCATTGAAATGACACAAAGTAAAATCCATTTTCTAAATGAAAGGATGTAAATATTTTCTTCTCCGTCCCAGCCTCAAAAATTTTGTAAATCTTTAAGGTTCAGTTGCTTCTGAACCATGAAATGCTTAAACTATGGTTTTTTTCATCCATAGAACAGCTTCCTGCATCCTGCATCAGAAAGGGTTGAAATCCCCAAACTCTGTAGTACATCTGCTAAGAGGGAAAGGTTTCCCTGCTTACCATGTGACACAGCCAGGTAGTACCTGTCACCTTCCCTGGCCCATGTCTGAAACACCTGAATTAACACCAGCACAAAATCATGCCAGTACCTGGCAAGGTTTGTGGTTCTAGCAAGGTGGCTGAAAGGCAAAATTTGCCATTGTGACCTTCTTATTAACTTGGCACTCGGCATTAAATTATGGAGGATTGCTAAAAGCACCAAACTCAAATCCCTTCTGATGCACCTAGCAGGCCTTGGTCCTTGGTGATACTGTGGCACATTGATGGTGAATTTTAAGCCACTCTCCCTTTTTTCAGAGGGTTATTTTCTCTGTGCTGCATTTCCTTCAGTGTCTAATGTGTGGTAAAAATTAGTATTTGAATATGAACTAAGCTATAGCATCTGTGACTTCTAACCAGGGTTGAGATGATGTAAAGCCTGCACATTCCTTTTCCAGATGCCTTTTTGCCTGATGTTGAGGTCTATTACATATACAGACACCCGGTCAAAAAAGATTTGAGATGGGGAATATTTCTCATAGACAATTAAATGATAGGTCCAAAATAGGTACTGTTTAACTGTGCACATTAATAGCTAAACCCAGACTGACTGATTCCACTACCTGTTTGATTGCATCAGGAATTCAGTTTGACCTCTCCGAAAGTTATTATACTATCTGGAGTTCGTTTCTTGGTATTTATAATAACAGTTCCTAGAGGAAATTATCTCTGTTGAGGTCAGAGAGGAGCAGGTTATATAAAAGATGCATAGATGTTCAGAGAAATTTTCAGGATTACATTAATATTTACCTACCAAGGAAACAGATGTCTAGAGGTTTTTTCAACTCCATGAAGAACTAAGTTATTTTAAAAGCTGCCTGAACTGATGTACATTGCATTTTTACATTCTTATTCTAAAATAGAAGCTAATCTTCAAAACAAGAATTCCAATCCATGCCTACAAATTCTAAATAATTCTAAATAATAATTAATAAGTCTAACAATAATTCTAAATAATAATAATCATTCTACAAATTCAAAATAAATTCCTCAGCTTCAACTTACTGTCTAAACAAAAGCAGAGTTAAGCCTAAACCTGATTTTTACAAATGTTGATCAGGAGGTCATGTGGGTCAAAGATACCAGACGCAGGTCCTTATGTTAAGGGGGAAAAAAGGGAATTAATGCAAACATCAGAAACACCTCAGCAATGTTACTACACCTGGAAGTTAATCTGGCAGATCACTTACAGTGATTGTTGTCACTTCCCAGCATCATTGAAAAAAAGTGAAAAATCTCAGTTGATTGAGTGGAAGTACAGATTAATTCCTTTGGGGTTCTGAGGGGAACCTGTTCTTGAAGGACAAGCATCAGACAGGAGAGTGGCTGAGAGATGGCGACAGTGATGGACACAGATAGCCAGGACTCTGCAGAATTTCTCAGGAAATCCTCTCTACCTCTAAGACTAGAAATAGAAGACAGAATTAAAAAACATCAAATCATCTCATCTTGGACATGAAAAAATCTCCAATCTAAATATGTAAATATGCATATGTTAATACTTTTTTTGTCAAATGTCTTCTGCTTATTTACTTACTCTGCTTATTCTTACATTATGTTTCTATGTACTGAATCCAAAAATCTAAGCAAATTATTTTGGTTATCTATACCTTAACTTAGGCTGAGTGATAAGAAACTGGAATTCTATAAATTCTTGGCAAGCCTTTTTTTCTCACTTGGATTTCTCCCTGGGTGACAGCATTTTATCATTATTATTCCTGTTCACTGTTTGTATGAGGCTTAGGGGTCACAGTTGGAAGAGCTCTGTTGTGAGGCATGCCAGGGGAGACAACTGTTTCATCTGAAGTGAGGTTTATAACCAGCTGTTCCTCAGTGTGGAGTGAAAGAAGGAGACAGAAGAAAAGCACAGAATCTTTGCAGACCTGATTGTCTACAGTTATTCTGTTGAACTCAGTGCAGTTCAGCTTTATTGACATCAGAGAAGGAACCAGATGCAGAGAAAAGCCAATGGAAGAGCTCATGTGGGCTTGTTTCTGTATAAGGTACTAACATACTTTCTGTACTAATGGCTTCAGAACTGTCCCTGTCTGTTTTGCCTAAGGTTTGTGTTGGTCTGAGAAAGAACCCAAGTGTTGCTGCAGTGTTGTCCATAAATCAAGGGATGTCAATACCAAAAGATGTACCAGTGCTTTTTGGGCTGCAGATCACACCCAGGAGATGCCAGCTCTGCTACCTTAGTTGTCAGTAACTGCTCCAATCATGCAAAGCAAACAAAGTTCAAAGCATCTTAAACAAAGGCCAATATAAAAACTATATCCTTTTTCTAGAATCTGTTGCTTTGGGTAAGTATTCGCCCTCTGAAATTTTTCTGTGCCACAGATTTTTCATTCCTGCATGTTAGTAGCATTTGGCACTGCTCAATCATTTTTTCAGGGAGGCCAGGTTATACCTACAGCTGCACCTGAGTGAAAATGGTAGGAATTTCCAAAGTGCTTGAAAATCAGTTGTGCACAAGGGGTGTAACTGAAGGCTTTGTAGTTGCATTTTTCTTTCTCCTCTTTTACAGCACCATTGAACTATTTTGTTTCTGTGCATAAACAAGAATCATAAAGAGATTTCTATTAAAAAAAGCTGATGTTGTCATGACCAAGGTGAAGCCACATAATTTCTGAGGCAATTTTACCTGGAGCTTACAGCAGTCTACCAGAAACAATAGAGGGCCCTGTGGCAATGAGGTGGTTGTTAATTGCCATGGGTGTTTGGCATTGATGGGCTCTTTGTTGGCAACCGTTCTAACCCAATTATGTTTCTAAAGTGGGACTGAAAAGCATTGTAGGGAGCACCATGTAAACGGCACTAAATGCACTGAGACTGAGCGACCTCCCAGAAAGATAGACAGGTGCCTGCTAAAGCCCCATATGATTGATTTTCCATGGCTAAAATGGCAACCACAGACATCTGGTTTTGCCCCAGTTACAACAACAGAGGCAAATGTGAGCTGTTGTCTTAGTTAGAACAGCAAGGCTGCTTAGAATTACATAAAAATATGGCATTTGACTATCGGTGGGGGATTTTTTGCTTTCCTGTAAGTAAAGCTTTATATCTCCAGCAGTAGAAAATGAGTTTTCTTGTCCTGAGAAAAGCACACTTGAGTGTGTTTGTATGTGTATAGACACATGTGTATGTGTCTGAGTTTAGCACTTGGATTTATTTTAATGCTGGCCTGGCATTTTAGTCAGAGATTTTTCTTAAATGTAGGTATAGCTATGGAAAACAGGCCAAAGTCAGCACAAAAAACCTAACCATTCAATTGAATGGTATCACATGAGCAGGAAAAAACCCTGCAGCTTCAGGACTGGTGGAAGAGAGAATCAGCTGAGCATCTTATGATGCTTGGACTACCCAGCAACACTAATGTGCTTTCTAAATCACCCTATATTACCAAGCTCAGTGTTTCAATTTTTTGCTGTTTCAAGGACAAAATACCATTATTACAAAGATTTAAGTCTCAAGATGGGAGCCCTTCTACCTCTTTCCTTGGGACAAAGATCAAAATCTTTCTCTCTTTTGAATTACTTTGAATTCTTCACAATTCTGAAGTCTTTATGTGGGACTCACACAAGGCTGCGATGTGGTACATGGGTCAATCCAAGGAGTTTCAGAGACAAAAGAACTATGTAGGAGTTCAAATGTCCTTTGTCAATGGCTGCCTCTTATTGAGATTTTTTTTGGGGGAAGGGGTATTTCTTCAGTTTGGAAAACTATGCAATAAAGGACAGTATGTGTGTTAATTTATGCAGGTTTTTCTCTACAGAAGAGATCTTAATAATCTCTTTGTAATAAGAACTTTGCAAGAGACTGAAACACAGAAGGTGAATTTTGGGATCCAAAAGCAAAGAGGTTATGTTATTGCTACACCTTAATGTTACAGCAACCATTGTTAGTTCTTCTTTGTGTAGCGTTTATGCCCTATAATTAGAAGCCCTAATATAATCCAGAAATGACTGGAGTTGTGATGTATTATCATCCAAGTCACTCCACAAACTTGAATTTCCTTTGTTTTTCAATACTGTGTTACTTTTCTCTATAAATCCCCCAAATGGGTACATATTTACTCCATTCTAAGAGCCAGAACCGCAGGGAGGAGCAGACCTAAATGTGCCGCCTGCCAGCTCTGAGCCAGAAGTGGCCTGAATGGAACAGCAGGGGCCGATTGAGCTGACAGTGCCAAGCGCGGCTCCCCGAGGCTGGCTGTAAACCCTGCCCGTACCTGGGCTGTGACCTCAGAGCCAGTGTGTCTCTGACACGGCTCTCGCTGTGAGGACAACTGTCCTTCCCTGGCTTCGATGGTAACTGAATAGTCCAACCCACAGCACGTTTTCCGCCAAGGCCCTTTAACAACCCCTCAGCCTGATCTGGCTGTAATTTTTCATACAGCCCACACCCCATTAGACGAGAGGGCAGCAGTGACAGACCTGGCCTCCCTTCCTACGTTCTCAGCAAGGGCAGACTGCAGAGTCGTGTCAGCGCTGCCCCGGGGGTGCCCAGCAGCCGGCGGTGACACCGCTCCGGGCCCGGCGGTGAAGGCGCCCGGGGGCGGCGGCAACGCAACTCCAGCCCGGCCCCGTGAGGGAGCAGCGGCAGCAGTTCTCTTTCGCGTCCTCCCCTGGGGGCCGCCACGCCGCGGGCTGTGATTGGTCACTTCTCCTCTTGCCGGTTCGCCGTAGCCCAATGAAAGCGCGCGGCGGGGAGGGGGACGGGCGGGGATTGGCGGGCGGTCGGTGGGCCCGCGTCGGGGAGCGGAAG